CCATAGTCTAAACAACTATGATATGCATAGGCCATGGAAAAGAGTGAAGAAAATGTTAAATCTGAGTGCAATTACCCATTTCCCAGCATTTGGCATGGTAGTCTTTCTTTGTGTAAGCAGGCTTACCTGGGAGATGCTGGGGTGGAGTCACCTTAGGAAAGGGGAGATGATGGCAGTGATTAGGTGCAGCAAACTGCAAATGATAAACCAGTATGAACTGCCTGATTGAGAGGTAGGGGACTGCCATGATGAATGAAGGTGAAGGTTTGGCAGTGACTACACAAAGCAGAAATAACGATCTGCAGTCACCAAGGCTGGATGAAGCCCACTGGATACTTTACCAACAAAAAGAACTCCAAAATATTTAAACAGGGGGCTGGAGAGATGGCTCCGTGGTTAAGAACACTGACTGTTCTTGTAGAAGACCCGAGTTCAAATCCCAGCACCACATGGCAGCTAACAACTGTCTGAAACTCCAGTTCCAGGGGATCTGATGGCCTCTTCTGGCCTCTGCAGGCATTGCATGGCACGGGTGCACTAACACACATGCAGGCAATTCACGCATACACATAAAATAAAAATAATAAAATATTTAAAATAATTTAGTCAGTACTATGCTTTTCTCTCTGTTTTGTGTATGTGTGTGTGTGTGAGTATGTGGGCACATATGTGTTGTTGTTCAGGAGCCATCCACCCTGTTTTTTTGAGACCAGGTCTCTCATTGGCCTGGATCTCACCAGGTAAAATAAACTGGCTGACCAGTGAATCTGAGGGATCCTCCTGTCTCCAGCTCCCCAGCCCACAGAGGCTAGACGTGGGTGATGGATCCCCTGAAGCTAGAGTTACACGTAGCTGTGAGTTGCTTGATGTGGGTGCTGGGAAGACTCCAATACTCTGCAAGAGGAATATGTGCTTTTAACCACTAAGCCTGCTCTCTAGCCCCTATTTTATTTTTGAAATATATTTTTATTTATTCTTTGAGATTCAGTACATGCACGCAATGTATTTTGATCATATCCATTCTCCACTTCTCCCATTTGACTCCTTCCGACTGCCCCTCTAACAAATCGCTCTCCCAACTTCATGTCTTTTTTAAAAAAATTATTTAACCACTGGGGGCATATACCTTTAATCCCAGTACTCAGGAGGTTGAGGCAGGCAGATCTCTGAGTTCGAGGCCAGCCTGGTCTACATAGTGAGGTTCAGGACAGCTGGGCCTATAGAGAGACCCTGTCTCACTCCTCCCACAATTTATTTATATGAGTGTTCTGTGTGTATGTAAGTGCACCATGTGTGTGCAATGCCCACTGAGGCCAGAAGAGGGCCATGGATCCAGCCCCTGGAACTGGAGTTACAGACCTTTGTAACTGCCATGTGGGCACTGGGAACTGAACCTAGGTCCTCTGAAAGGGTAGCCAGTGCTCTTAACCATTGAGTCATCTCTCCAGCACCCCCTCCTTTATATTTTCAATTTTTGTTTTTTGAGGCAGGGTCTCCCTGTAGCCCCAGCTAGCCTAGAATTCACTATATAGACCAGGCTCACCTTGAGCTCACAAAGGTCTGCCTGCCTTTGCCTCCTCAGAGGAGTAATTAATGGTGTGCACTACCATATCCAGCTTCTTTTTAAATAACCCACTGAGGGCTGGAGAGATGGCTCAGCAGTTATGAGCACTGACTGCTCTTGCAGAGGACCCGGATTCCATTCCCAGCATCCACAAGGTGGCTAACAACCATCTGTAACTCCAGTTCCAGAGGGATCTGATGCTATCCTCTGACCCCCTTGGGCATTGCACAACATGGGTGTACTTACATGCAGGCAATAAATACAGTCATACACATTAAAAGAAATTAAAAGTAATAAATAAAATATTTAAATAGCCCAGTGAATCCAATTAGTGCTGTGCCCACGTGAGCCTCCTTTTCTGTTTAAAGACGCCTGTGATACTTTCTTCCATCCAACCAAGAGAAGAAAAAATCAATGCTATTCTTGTTCTCATTATAGTCCATTAAGTGAAATTATCAACTACATCATGTATCATAAATATGTAGAAATTAATATTCACAATGTATATAAATTTATATACCTACCATTTACACCATAACACTAAACTAACATTTTATTATGTTGTTACAAATGTATATTTATATCTAGTCACACACTATTAGCATGCTGTGTTTTACTTTTTCATAGAAATTGTCCCTGAGTTAGAACATATTGGGGTTGAATCCCGTTTTTCCCATTGTTATAAGACACTGTCTCAGGAGGAAGAGGCAGCAGATTGGAGGCTCAGTGGCCCCATAAATAACCACCATAATTCCTACTGAAAATGTTAGGTGCCCTACATGGCTAAGCATATTTTTATTTTTCGCTTTTTTCCTTTCCCTCTCTCCCTCCCTCCCTGTGGCTGGGAACATTTTTGCTTATCCCTCTCCTCCCCTCCCCTTCTCTTTCAAGCCTGACAGGAAATTCCTAAGTACACCAAGCTGATCTCTTAATTTAAGGCAATTTAAGGCCATCCTCCTACCTCTGCCTTCCAAGTGCTGGGAGTATAGATTCTTGCCAACAAGCCAGGCTGAGAATACTTT